GGCTGGTGGTGGAGCCTGCTGGCTACTCTCAAGGGCTGGACCGGAGATTACTTGGAGGGGGGGGGGGAGGGAAGAAAGGAGGAGGAGGAGGTGAGAAATGACAGCCGCCTTTGATGCTGAAAACCTTGCAGGCCTGCCTTCTGGAACTTGGAGGACAAAGAAGCCCCAGCCTCCCTCTTTTCTGGGGCTCAGGAAGGGAGACTTGAAAGAGATAAATTTAGACTCATCAGAAGGCTTCCCACAGTGGGGAGTCAACTGACTTAGCTTGTGGCTCTGAGAGGTGACACAGGCTGGGGATGGAAATAATCGCAAAGAAAGTTTAAGTGAAGCCAAGGATGAGAGAGCTTGAATGTAATGGGTTGGTGTACTGTAATGGTAGTCTGGGGAGTTCCCTAGATCTTGAGGCTGTTGTCAAAAGAGAAAAGCCTGTTTTTTTTTTTTTTTCATTTTACTCCCCTTCATGAGCAAATCAGCACAGACACAGATCCTCACTCTTCAGAGACATGCCGAGACTGAGGCACTGGAAATAATGACCAGAGTGTTTGAAGTAAAATGTGGATTCCTGTCAGAGGGTGGATGCCCTGAGGCTACCCTCAAAGGGACCATGTTCTCTCTAACTGACCAGCCACTTGGCAGTGGGGTGATACCACCCTGGACAATCAGGAGATCTGGATCATTGGCTAGCTCTGCAATGACTTGCTTTGGGATCTTAGCCAAGTCTCTTCACCACATGTAAAATGAGATCCAGAATTCCACGATGCCTAAGTCCTTTCTGGATCCAGCATCTTATTACCCATGTGGACTTTCCTTTTTGAACAAGGTCATCTTCACACAACAGAATAGGAAAAAAATATATTTGGTCATTTATCACATGTCAGCTACTGATAATTATGAGAAAACAAACAGCATAAAACTGTTGCAGTGGCTGGCATGTGATGAAAATATCCCTTTTTAAAGATTGGGCAGTAGTACTACACTTGTCATGGGCAGGGCCCGGGTTTGAAGCCAAGTCTATCTGGAGGAGATGGAGATCTGTTTTCTTGACTTCCTCTTCCGGTGTATCCAGTTGTCTGGGCCCTGGCAGACTCCTACCTGGACAGGAAATGTCCATTCAGCTTTTCACTTTACCAAGAAGCATTGCTGTTCACTATCCCTTTAAATCAAAGTTCACATGCCTCTTCCTCTGAGATCCTTTCATCGTCATTTCCAATTCCCTTTCAAAAGTCTTTGCATGGGAACTCTTTGGAAACCATTGGCATTCTTTGGTACATTGCTTTTCAAATTACATCTCCCCCACACATTGTGTGTGTCACCTTATAAGCATGTAAATTCCATCTTATAAGCATGTAAATTCCTTCCTCAAATGCAGGGACAGTTTCTTTCTTTCTTTTTTTTTTTTTTTTTTGGATTTCAAGCAGCTTTGTCCTATCCATCATAATGTTCAAGACAGAGTTTCATAGACTACTAAAATTACAGAAAGTTAGCATTGTAGAATCTCAATATTAAAGTGCATCTAGAGTTTAAGCAGACTATCCTTCTATTTCTCCCAAAACTTCTCCACAAATTATCACTCAGCCTCTGCTTGAGTATCTGAGTCATGGAAAGAATCCTTTTCTGGAAATCAAAGGACTTAACTCTGCCACTAAGTTGCTATGTATAGGCCAGTTACTTCTGTCATCCTTGAACTTTCCTTCAAACTTAACCCTCACTTTCAACTGCTCACCAGACCTTGTCTACTAGATCTCACAATTATCTCCCAGGTTGGGAAATATATTTCTCCAGTATTGTTCCCATTATCCTCGGTGAAGCCATCCACAGTCCCCCTTGGCTTCTGCAGTAGACTTCTAATTGATCACCCCACTTCCACTCTCCCATCCATATTCATTGCATAAAATTCATAAATTCATAAATTTAGAGTCTTAGAGGAGCCAACTCTGCCTCAAAGGCATGTCAGAGGCCCATCTGGTTGTCAGTATTGGATGATTAGAGACCAACAGAGGCTGCTAACTTTGCTAATTGAACAGAAACTGTTTGCTGATTTGTGCACTGTCCACGGTCCTGGAAGGATTACCTTGTTTTTGCTACAGTCTTCAACCTTGGTTGACAGATACACTGAGAATAGATTCTAGTTTGGGAAGCGAGGTGACAATTCCCTGTGAATTGGTCTGTCATGCAACCTTCATTGCAATCTACTTTCCATATAGCCACCATGATGTTGTAAAATGCAGAGCAATCAGACATACTCTCTTCCTTTAACCTATTTAAGAGTTCTCCTATTGCTTTTAGAGTAAAGCCTCGGCCTGAGTGACCTATGACCTGCCACTGCTTATTGCCCCAGTTTCACCTCCTACCGTTCTTCCCTTAGTTTCTCATCTTCAGTCACACTGGCCTTCTTCATTTCTGAAACCAGACAAATTTTATTCCTTCTTAGGCATCGGAGTCTTATGTGTTCTGTTTGAAATGCTTTTCAGTGTTAATCCCTACTCATAGCAAGTATTAGCTATAAAACACTTTATCCAAATCAGTGTTTGAAACTGTTTTAGGTAAATTGTGTGTGTATGTGTGTGTGTGTGTGTGTGTATAGATGGAGGGAGAGACTGGGATGGGGGAGAGAAAGAGAGAAAAGTGTTTCAAAAATGTTAATTCTAGTATTTTGGGTTGTCCAGAAATAAATTCCAATGGCTTGCCATTGCTTTCTTTCTTTCTCTTTTTTTTTTTTTTTT